GCCCACCGACTATGGTCCTGTCGACTAAACGAACATATCAATACTGATTCTTCCAATTTCTATAATGTAATTCATTCTATATGACATATATATGTTATATCAAGCCAAGACCTTCCCTCCAATGAAGGGCATCATTTGTAATCAACTCCAAATAATAATAGATTCATTTAAATGGGGCCAGGCCCCATGAATTTTCCCCCTTCTCAGGGGTTTCCACGTAAAAACACTAGTGTCTCTTATGAACGCTACACCCTCTCCTTTTACATGCTTGTGTGCTGGATCTTCGTAAAAAGTTAAGAAGTTAAATTTTATATTTCTCTACCGCCACGAATATTCCAGGAAACAACACACAGTAATCCGAACTTAAATTTAGATAATTTAGAAGGTGATTTTAGATAGTCCTACAAATTGTTGACTTTGAAAATATCAGGATATATATGGGCATTTCTATTTCCCCTTTATATAAATTCGTCAGTAGAAAATTTAATTAGGCAAGTGTTGTAGGATGGATCAACCAGTTACATCACTAATGTTATTATATGGTGGTAATTTGACCTTTGATAACCAATTTATTTTCTACATACATGTTCAAAGTAACACATCGTTATAGGGATTAAAATAAAAAGTACTTAGGATGCTTAAGCACGATGCCAGAATGTTCAAAGTGAATTAAGTTTGTCGACTTCCTATAGTCAATGTGAATTTTGTTTGTTGTTAATCAAATCTATCAGCATATTCTTCATCACCTAAATTATCATTTCCAGACGCTCAAAAGGATTTTGTAATATCTCAAAGGCACTATTTCCTTTGGACTACCTATTCTGCAAGGCAACTTGAATCTGTCTACAATGCTGACGCGGACTAGGCAGGTGACAAGCAAAATCGAAAGTCTACGACTAGCTATTGTGTTTTTCTAGGATCTACTCTTATTAGCTGGAGTGCGAAGAAACAATCCACCATTGAACCTGAGTATCGGGCACTTATTGCAGCTGCCACAGAAGTTGTGTGGCTACGGAGATTACTCTCTTAGTTCAAATTTTCTATCGCAACCCCGACACCTCTATATTGTGATAATATTTGTGACATCTCTCTTGCAAATAATACAGTGTTCCATGCAAGGAGCAAATATATTGAATCGACCATCACTACAATCGCGAATGTATCAAATCTCATATAATACATGCTCATCGTATTGCTACAAAAGATCATACTGCAGATATCTTTACCAAAGGACTTCCAACCACAAGATTTTAGGGTCTCGGGGATAAATTATCTCTTCGCACTCGAATAATTAATTTGAGGAGGACTGTTAGCGGATGTAATCCAAACATGACCACAAATGATGATAGGCAATTTTCCATATCACGTTTGCTACCACTGTACCCTGCACATGAAAGCAACGGCAAACAACTCTGCTGCCCGCAGGAGTTGTCAGATAGCATCACAACCATCCATGAAGATTCTACTTCAACGGCCAGATAATGATTCTTCTTATCCTCTTTCTCATCTGTATTAATATACATAATGTTGTTACACAAGTCATATACATATACTTTAGAGCAATGCCAAGCTCTCTTTTCAACTGTGTTTACTGTGTTGAGTTTGTTCTCATTTCAGGACTTTAACAAAAACTTATATCAGCAAAGAGAGAGAGAGTTTTACATCCTAATTTTATATGATGATTAGTGAGTAGGGGTGCAAACGAGTCGAGTCGAGCTCGAGTCTGAAGGTGTTCGAGTCAAGCTCGGCTGTCAAATACCGAGCTTGAGCTCAAAAGTCGAGCTCGAGATTGACTCGACAGAGGAAATAAAAGCTCGCCGAGCTGCTCAAGCGGCATTCGAGCTCAGTTTGTCCATCGTGCCAGCGTTCGTCGCAGTCATCGCCACCGTTTGCATTCGTCGCCGGTTTCACGCGTCCCCAGTGTCTCTTCGTTTCCAGTTTCAGTTCGTCGCCAACTTCTCGCATCGCTAGCATCCATGTCCGTCCGTCATCGCGAGCTTCTCACGTTTCCAGCGTTCACGCCCGTCCGTTGTCGCCAGGTTCCGCCCTTGTCCATCGCGAGCTTGTGTCTGTCGCCAGTGTCTTTCCTGCGAGCTGCTTTCATTTTTCAGTGCCTGATTTCATCTGCGAGCTGCTCGACGAGCTCGCGAGTCGAGCAATAGGTTGTTCGAGCTTGATAAGCTATCAAGCTCAAAATAGTGTTCGAGCTCGACTCACGAGCTTGATAAGCTCAACTCGTCGAGCCTGTTACTGAGTTGAGCTCGACTCAGCTCGTAAGCAGGCTTAACTTGATTGCACCCCTAGTAAGGAGTCACCTTAGTTTTTAAATGGAAAACTTGGATATCATGAGGTCTAACCTATTTGAAATTTGGATAAATTTTTAAAATAAAAATGGTTAATTTTTTTTTACTAATGATATATATATAATGAAAATTTAATCACACAAGTGTTGTAGGATGGATCAACTAATTACATCACTAATGTTATTATATGGTGGTCCTTTGACCTTTGATAACCAATTTTTTTCTACATATCAGAGAGCATAACTGCCCTCTACATCTTCAAAGTAACACATCATTAGAGGAATCAAAATTAAAAGTATTTAGGATGCTTAAGCACGATCCCAAAATGTTCAAAGTGAATTTAATTTGTCGACTTCCTATAGTCAATATTATGATGTAATGATTACATTACACATTATTATTGATGATAATATTTATGAAGTCGCCAATTCGTAGTAACATATGTTAAAATAGAAGCTAGTGACATTGCACCATGCGTATTAAGCTAGGGTTGGAATCTTTCTGTGATGCCTCATAATTTAATTTAGAAGAATTATTCTTTTATTTTTTAATAAACAACAATAAAGCTATTTAATTTCTTTTATCAGAAATAAATAATAAAAATAATTTTAAAATTCAAAACATCTATGTGTATATATGTATCCATGATCTATACAATCATGATATCACTACTCTATCTTGAATACAAATAAATAACTAAAACAAAAAGAAATATAACATGAGAAATTTTAATCTGATCAATCTTATACACCTGATCCTTTTGCCCTGACATGAAAATATATAGCCACATATAATGAGCTAAAAAGCCCAGCAGGTCACTAAAACTTACAATTGAATTCAACACAAGGTAAATGAGTAATGTATTTGTTAGCAGTCAAATCATAATAATAGCATTCACATGATCATAGGACTGTACAATAGAGAAATATGTAAACTAGTACATGTGTCAAATCACTAAAACAATCGTCATATCAATATTATAATCAATATAAAAAATGTATAAAGTATAAAATTAAACTAGTTGTGTCCAAAGTAGCATTCATGAGGTTGTGGGGGAAACGAAGCTCTAGCATGATGATGAGGTACTTCAAGAGTGGCATCAAATTGATCATGCTATTTATTTTGTGGTAGAAGAACTTCATGTTTTGATAGAAGCTTTTCTATTCTATGCATAAGAACATCCAATGTGAGGCCTAAGTTGTATTCACCAACTACATATACTTATTTTGATTATAAGCACACCATATTCGAAAATCATTTGTTATTCAATCAATGACGTAAATTTTTTTACTATGCTTTAAGTGCTTGATTTTGATTCATTTGGAGTCAAATATAATCACTTTTTGTATCATCAGGCTATTCTCGTCAAAGTATTCAATTTATTATAACTTTATTGAAATCAGAATTCAAATCATTTTGAATTTGATTTCAAAATGAAACTAACTTAGAAGGGTTCATGGAACCCTTTTCATTTGATTCGGTCAAGAAATTTTAAATATTTTCTCACAAGTTTAAAAACCATTTTATTTGAAAGAGGCTAACTTTTTTAATTTTAGGATATGTTTGAGATGGTTGCATTGTTTTGTAAAATTGATTATAAAATTATTGTGGGGCATAATGAAGGAATTTAGTAAATATACAAAGATAATATATGAGAAGAGATGAAGTGTCTGTTTGGGACGGCTCGAATGTTTTATAAAGCTGATTAAGAAGCTGTTGTGCAGAAAATAGCTTTGCTAATTTGATTGTTAATGGCTATTTTTTATCACAAAAATTTTAAAAATCTGTAAAAAAAAAAACAATAAGAAACTAGTATCCAAATAAAATCATGGTTTTGATCTTAAAAGCAAAATGGCTAGAAAGCTGACCCAGTTTAAGATGATTACAATATTTTATAAAATTGATATTAAAATTGTTATGAGGAAAGTAAATTAACTATTCTAGTTGCAAATTATACCTATTATAAAAATTTCAAAAAAATTAATTAAAAATTTTAAAAATAAAGTAATTAGAAAGCTATCCCAAACAGATCCTATGCCATTAAATCTATACTGTTGAAACTATACAAAACTAAAAGGGGTATGAACGGAGAACTGAATGAACTCAAATTAAGCATTTTAAGAATATTAAAAATTTTCACACTGCACTTTACTAAACTCTTTAATAGGATCTAGGATTTGGATCCTCCAAAATTATAGTGAGATCAGTCATGTATTTCAATTTAGATGTTTGAGAATAAATCTAACAACATAACAATAATTTTGAAAGAAAAAAAAAATTATTTTTATCATAGCCATCCAAACTGAAATGTATGGCTGGAATGCACCATATCTAACAAGCCACTAAGCTGGTTAGGATTCAAGAGTATTCGGCAAAGGCTTCTAGAAACCGTTTTGCATTTTTCTACTGAAAATAAAGTGTTGGAATATAACACAATTAATAAATCAATGGAGCTTTCCAGACAACTGGTAAAGTTTTATTCGGCCCAATTTTTCTGTTATTTTCAAATTTTTATTTAATTTCATAAATACAGTATAATTTTGATATAAAATATATTAGAATATTTTGATATTATTTTTTATTTTAAATTAATTAAAAAGACGAACCTTGTGATTTAGCAGTAAATAAATGATAAAAGTTTGGAAATAATATTTTTATTTTGAAAATTGAAGCCTATTTATGTGGCCGATATGCAAGCTTGTGCAACGGCATCTACTCAAAGGAGGAGAATTTGGGTTGAGCTTAGTTATTCTCTTCATCGAAGATGTGGAGAGTGACAAACGCCATAATTTCCTCTGTTAGTCGCATCGTGTTCGCGTTACTTGATCTGTTGGACTTTGCTCTCTGCTTCATCTACCGTTTCCTGGATTCAGTTCTTGAAGAGAATCCAATTCCTTGTTATTGCAGAAGCAGAGGAGGAGAAGAAGAGGGAGATGAGATTTCTGAGACTTTGTATGGAAGGAGAAATGAATTTAGAGATCAGATATTGGGCTTGTTTTCAGCGACGGGAAGGAGTGATGATGATGATGATGATGATGATGATGAGAAGGAGAAGGAGAAGAAGGAAGCTGGAAGGAGATCTCCTCGGTGGTCAGATTGTAACTGTGAGAGCTGTGTGAGCTGTGCTTCATGGAAAAATTGGCAGGGGATGGGGAAGGAGACTCTTCATTTGGTCATCAAAGAACCAACTCGAGGTAAGTTTGTATATGTAGATTTAGGAATTATTGATTCGTTTATGTCATAAATAGGATAGTTTCATGTGTTATGCATATAAATCCCTCTTTATTGGGCCTCCATTCAAATGTATTCTTTTTATAATTTTGGATTAGTTTTCCGGAGTTTTAGGCTTTGTTTGGGGAGAGATTATTCTGTGCAAACACCATACGGGAGAACCGTCTGCTTGCGTTCAGTACCGAGCGCGGTACATTTTTGGGGTGACGTGGCGCATTTTTATTGGTCTCCGGACACATCCGGACTCTTCACAGAATAATTTGGACAGCTTTTTTACTGTTATCTAAAATGGCTTTCTAGTACAAAAATTTCAGAAATTTTTGTAGTAAGAAGCTGTTTTAGAAAAAACAGCAAAAAAGCTGTCCCAACCGAAGCCTTAGAGGAAAAAAATATGGGTGAAGATGAAAATGATCTTCTGAATTCATGCATATTCTTACAATATATTTTGAAAGAAACCAGTTGGCTGACAGTTATAATTTAAGCAAAAAAATTATTTTTCTGAATTTCAGCTGAAACAAGACAAGATGGTAGCTATGAAACTGAGAATGTGATTTTCTTACATGGATTTCTATCGTCTTCATCTATATGGGTGGAAAGTGTATTTCCAAATTTATCAGAAGAAGCAGATCTGAGAGTTAAAATGTTTGCAATGGATCTTCTAGGCTTTGGTAAAAGTCCAAAACCAGCAAATTGTTTGTACAGAATACAAGATCATTTGGAGATGATAGAGAGGACTGTGATTAAACAGTTTGGATTGAATAGTTTTCATATAGTTGCTCATTCCATGGGCTGCATCCTTGGAATTGCATTAGCTGCAAAATATCCCAAGTCTGTGAAATCCATTACTCTTGTTGCTCCTGTAAGTATACTAATTCTGGTATGAGATATTGAAAATTAGATTATATGAAGTATTATAATAAAAGAGATTTCGGTTTGATTTGGGACAGCTTTATTATTGCTTCTTAAAGCATCTTTTTAGTACTAAAAAATTGTTTTTAAAAGCAGTAAGAAAGTCGTCCCAAACAAAGCCTTCATCTACTTCAGATTTTAAATCTCAAATTTGAATTTTATTGCAATAAGATGTTTGATATTTTACTCAACTATAAGCTTATGATGACATCTTTTTTATGATTTTTTTTTCATTTTAGCCATACTTCCCTTCACTTGAAGCTAAAGCAAGCCACAATGCTCTGAATAGATTGGCTGAAAGGAAAATTTGGCCCCCTCTACTATTCTTCTCTTCAGTTATGTCTTGGTATGAACACTTGGGAAGAACTATTTGCTTCATCATTTGCAGAAATCATTTGACATGGGAATGGATAATTAAGCTACTGACTTGGAAGAAGTAAGAAAAGAAAAAAAAAATTTTTGATATCCCTGCAATTTTGTATATATAGTGAATACAAATGCTGAAGATTGACTTTGAATATTGTTACATGCAGGCATTTGCCTTTCAATTTGACAGATATAACCAAGCACACTCACCATTCTGCTTGGCATACAATGCATGAGGTGTTATGTAGAGGAGCTAAATTTAATGATAATTACTTGAGAACTTTAAAAGAAGAAGGAATTTTTATGAAGATTATTCATGGTGACAAAGATGAAGTGGTTCCATTGGAGTGCAGCTTAAACATAAAAGGTAGAGTTCCAAAAGCAGAGCTCCAAATCATCAACAATGCAGATCATGTTTCTGTAATCCTAAATAGAAAGAAGGATTTCACCAAGTTTCTTGAACAAACTTGGTTTTAAAACCTATAATATATATATAAAGCACCATCATAAAATTATCCAGTTTTGTCTATGTTATGATTGGTCCAAGATTTACATGTGTACTTTCTTTAGTTAGTTTTCTTTGTAGCATTTATATTGCTTTGATTAGGATCTTGTGTAGCCCTTTGAGATACCATTAAGCGTCTATAAATAAACACAGTAAGTTTGTAATAAGGCATTGAAGCCAAAAGCAAAATATAGAAATCCATTTCAGATTTTATGATATTTCCCTCTCCTCTTCCCTCTCTCCTCTCTCTCAAGAAGCTCAAGAAGAAGTGCTTCTTCCTCTCATTCAAGATTCTACAACTGGTATCAAAGCTAAGAGGAGCTGATCGAGCAAAAGAGGAAAGACGGTTCTTGTAGTCAAGAAAGAGAAAAGGGTGATCAGACCACACACGTAGTGGAGTGTCAAGCTGGTTGCGAGCTGAAGGCAACAGATCAAGGCTGCGGTCGTGTGAGGCCGGACCATTACGCAAAATTGGGAGGTACAACTCAATAATTTTGGTCACGTGTTGGTGTCGTGCAAGCAAACACGTTCACTGGTGTCGTGATTGGAATAGCAGAGGAGGTCCCTTAGGCAAGCTCAAATGCATGCATGGTAGGGCACACAGCTAGGATGTGTAAGGCGTAGGCGTGAGCACGCACAGAAGCGTGTGCGCTGGTAGTAGTTCAAGCTGGCAGGCGTCATGCGAGGCTTAGGATGCAGGCTGCCTGGGGTCGCACGTATGGAGCGAAAGAGGGCTTGAGCACGCTAGCTCACAGGGCCTCGAGGGTGCACTGTGCAGGAAGATGGGCATGAGGGGGTCGCGGTGCAGACGGGCCCAAGGGGTTGTGGCACGCGTGGGTACACGGGGTTGTAGCGCCGGGAAAATTGCATGCAGAAGACAAACTCGTGGGCTGGTTGCGAGGAGGTGAGGCAGAGCAGCCTGGTGTCGTGATTAAACCAAAGAAGGAGAAGGGTTCGATCACGTGGAAGGAGGTTGGAGCAGCTGAGTCGATTGTACATGCGGAGGTTTAATAGTGTGAATGGATGTGGTGCAGCGGAGTGGTGAGCGTGCCTTAGTCGCAAGTCAAGTGACATGGAAGATTGTAGATCTTTTTGAGGTGGAGCTTAAGTAATTAAGATTATTGACCTTGTCGATCCAAAAGTTTTAAATCGACAAGTTTACCATAGATAATGACTTTGGTTTGTGGAGAATCAAGATGAAGGCCCTCCTTATTCTTCAAGGAACTTCCGAGGCAATTTCCAAGGTAGATCTTGCTGTTGTAATTGATAGACCAAGAGCAAGACAAATGCAGTTGAAAGCTCATTGTGCAATCTTGTTATCACTCGGCAATGAAGTCTTGAGGGAAGTAGCTGAAGAAGGATCTTCCATAGAAGTATGGGAGAAAATGGAGTTCCTATATCTCAAAATATCATTGGCCAACCGTTTATACCTAAAGAAAGATTTATACACCCTACATATGGAGGAAGGTAAATATTTGAAGAAATATATTGATGAATTTAATAAATTCATCCTTGATCTTAAGAATGTAGATGTAAGAATTGAGGAAGAAAATCAAGGTGTTATCCTCCTAAGTTCTTTGCTGAAGTCATATGAAAATATAAAGGACACGTTACTATATGGCAAGCAAACGTTAACTATGATAGAGGTAAAGTCAATCTTGGTGTCCAAACAGTTACAACGTAGGAATGAGGACAAAGATAAAAGCGTTGGAGACATTCTTGTAGCAAGGGGAAGACATGAGAAGGAAGGGCACTTCAAAATAAATTGCCCAAATCTACTAAAGCGAAAGGGAGTTAGGCCCAAGGACCATGCCAAGATAGCTGAGACATCAAATGAATACATGGATATTTTGTAAATCTAAGGCCAAGGTGGAGTTTGTTATAATTAGTCCAAGATTTGCATGTGTACTTTCTTTAGTTAGTTTTCTTTGTTGCATTTATGTTGCTTTGATTAGTATCTTGTGTATCCCTTTGAGCTACCATTTAGTGTCTATAAATAAGCACAATAAATTTGTAATAAGGCATTGAAGTGAAAAGCAAAATACAGAAATCCATTTCAGATTTTCTTATCTCTCCCTTTTCTCTTCCCTCTCTCCTCTCTCTCAAGAAGCTCAAGAGGAAGTGTTTCTTCCTCTCATTCAAGATTCTACAGTCTACTTGTTCAAAGCATTATATATCATAAAATTGGTGATTAAAAGATGCAGGTTGTCATATGCTTACTTCTCCAAGTTAAAAAGAAAAGCAGGCATCAATTTTTTATATATCGATTTACAAGCCTTAAAGAGTACCAAGTGCTAGATAGGTTACACAACATAGAACGAGAAGTGATCGAAATCTCAAATAAATATAGATGATGATCTTCAATTAACTCTATTTCTTCACTCCTAATCTCAGGAGCCTCAAAATTTATAAATAGATTTTGCTTCCACACATTATATGTTAATTTCAATAGAGAAAAACCTTATATATGTGACAGAATTTTGAGCTCAAAACCCCATTTGGAATCTCCTATCAAGTGTACTAATTTTCCATTGAGCCAAACTTATATTTCACTCCCTCATGGTCTTCTTTACTAGTAGGGCCGGAAGGAGCCCAACCATTGTCTTCTCATGGACGACTATCATCATTCGATGCATGATGCTGATCAATACTATTGTTGTCATTGACATTGCTATTAGAGATAAGCCTGACAAAATCAAAAATTTAAATTGTAATGTCACATTCGATAAAAAAAAAAATTAAATTATTATGATCGCAGATTTGTACCAATTTAAAAAAAGAAACTCCGGACGTAGCTCTAGATAGTGCATTTTACACAACGATACAAAGCGGTACACAGCAGTACTATACATAGCATCAAAATGAACAAATGACACATAAACGAAAGAGGAAAAATGCATAATAATTACATCTGAGAGAATAAATGAACGTCCAAAAAATTATCATTTTACATAAAATTTTGCATAGTTGATTTACAAAAACATGTGTTTTCAAGACATTCAACGTATAAATTTCTTAACAAACATCACAAAAAACACATAAATCATTTATGTTCAATTTATAAATTCCTCGTTTAAGTATTTGAGCTTATTTGAGAACTTGATATGCCTTGCAGGTGAACAGAGTTATGTTGTATTTGCCTTTACGATAGCTTTATATATTCAAAACTAAGCTAAGCAAAATGTATATTGCCTCATAATATACATTGAAAAGAAATTATTAGGTAAGTAAAATACACCTTACTCTTGAGCTTTTTCTTCTTTTCTAATGGCCATGCAGAAAATGCGAAAGTCGTCCAAATCAATCTCCATCTTCATCACATGTTTCTAATTTTTTTCTCAACAGACACCAAAAGTTTTATTCCGCAAAAATCTTAAATATTTGAGAGCTTTCGCATTTCTCTTTTTTATAAACATAAAAAATGAGTGGGCTTCCTAACTTGACTGGATCGGGTCGTCGAGTCTTAAAAAATCCACGAGTCTTAATTTATTTAGAGTCAGGACGTAGAGCTACGTTCGGCATCCGCACCAAATAACATCTCCTCAATGGGACTGCCCAAAATTTTTCTTTTGCTCAAATTTTCACAATAAAAATTTGACTTGTCTTTGCACAATTATCTTTGTATATGTAGAGATATGTGAGATATTCATATAAATAAAGAAATAAATATTATGTTTTATTATCATAAAAATTTAACACAATTATTATTATAATTCTTTTTATAATTCCTTATAATAGTGACAAATGACAAGTTAATATTCATAACAGCTGAAGTTTCCTCCACAAAAAAGCTGCGTATGCATTAGCTCCACGTATCTGTAAGACTGTAATCCCCATACCTGTACGAAGACTGTAGCTTTGTTTACCAGCAGAAAGCGACGTAAATATGTACGCAACTCACTTGCTTTGTTAGTGGACAAATTTTAAAAATAATTATGATTAAAAATAAAATAAAATAAATTAAATAGCTATGAAAAAAATTAAAGTAATTATAAGTTTAGTTTGGGACGACTTTCTTAATATTCCTTAAAATAAATTTTTAATATAAAAAATTTTAGTTCAAAAAATTTTGTACTAAAAAGTTGCTTTAGAAAATAATAAGAAAGTCGTCTCAAATGAAATCAAAATTATCGATTTAAATGAAGATTGATGTTAGCTGGAGCACCACCTAGCTGAAGCTAGTCGTCTTTTGAACGGGCGATTGACATAAGAGATTTGTTTTTCTTTTCGCTCAGAAATAGGATAAATTATTTTGTATGGACACCGAACGCAGTTCACCGTCCAGAGACCAATCAAAATGTGTCATGTCAGCAGTATCGAACACAGTACCAAGCGCGGTAGCGTGGTACCGAGCTAAGATACTGAGTGAAGTGACGTGACGCATTCTGATTGATATCTGAACGACGTTCGACATCCACACAAAATAATTTGGCCAGAAATATGCCTCGATTTATTCGATTTCCACCTCTTCCTCTTCGGCTTTGTCCCTATTGCCTATTTTTCCTTTATAAAGGTAAACCTAAAACTTAATAAAAATGTTTAAGTTAGTTTCGTGGTGGGGTAAAAAAAAAACCAAGCAGAAGAAGTTTTGAATGGGGGTAAGTAAATTTCTTTGTTTGGGTATTAAAATTTTAGTGAGATAAACTATATTTATTTTCTTCAAATAAAGTAAAATAGCTTGTGAAAAATTATTTATCAGAAATCTAATATTTGTTACGAGAATTATATATACTATATTTAATATTCTAAAAAATATATTTGTTTTTTCTTAGAATTTAAGAAATTTGTATCAAATTATTAAAAATTTTGTCAGCAATATTAATTTATTTTCACATAAAATATTAAATGAAAAAATATTAACATTTGCAAACATTTTGAAGGCAAAGTAATAAAAAATTATATAAATTTTTAGGACTCACAAAAATAATATTAAAATTTATACTAATAATTAATTTCACGCTTTGAGCTTCCATTTGAAATTATTAATCGTGATATAATTTTTTTTCTCAGGCTGTTTGACTTTATTAGAAGAAAATATATTTTAGGATCTCTGTCAATCTCACTTCAACTCGTTCTAATCCATTTCCTAACCTAAAATAATTAAAAAATCTGCATAATGAGTTCAAAAAGCCCACGAGTAATCTAAAATTCACTAAAGTTTTAAATGAAATGACTAATATAAATAGTCAATATAGTTAATGATCAAATATTATCAATA